GATGGTCAAAGGATTTGAACCTGATTTCACGACAAATAGGGGAATTAATGCGTATGTATACCCCTAAACCTAGCATGTGACTATTGGAGTCTTTACGAATCAAAGGATAGTACCCATCAACACTGACATCTGGAGAAGGAATTGCAGAATTTAAATTTGTTTCACTGAGTGCAAGCAAGTCTGGTGAATTTTGCAGGAGGTAAGACTCAACGGACGGAAAGTTGCTTCGCAGACCGTGAATATTTGTAAAAGATATATTAAAACATTTAGGTGGTGGGGATGGTTTTTTAAGTTTAAAATTTTTGGTTACTTTAGTCATGATTTGGGTTTAATGAGAACTTGACTCCTTATGTGGCCTTGACAATGCACACCAAAAGCATTAACAGGGACACCATCCATGCGCAACATGGCACTGTTAATGCTCTGATATTTTGCAGCTGTTGATGGAATCAGCCTCTCTGAGAGCTACCACAGAGTTCGGGAAACCTTACTACCAGCCGGCCTCAGAACCATTAAACTGAGTTTTAGAGCTGTACCCTCATATGGAGATAACAGGAAGAGTTGCATAGCCATTATCAAGGAGGCATAAGCAAAATTCTATGAGTAGAGTCAAGGAGATCCAGCATTCATCATCCTTGGCAGGAAACAATGTAACACAGGTTACATTGGTTCGAGGCTGGTTAGCAGAATTTTTCTGCTTACCCCTAAAGTCTTTGCCTAGGAGGCCTTCTACAAGACAGTAGCTGGATGCAGTTAACATCTGCCCAAGATGAGTATTTTTATTGAGACACCATCTCTAGCCTTTACTCAACTAAGAGCCCCAAGACAGGGGATGTTTACCTGGATGCAGTTAACATCTGCCCAAGATAAGTGTTTTTATCGAGACAGCATCTCTAGCCTTTACTCAACCAAGAGCCCCAAGGCAGAGGAATTTTTAGTCAGAGTTTATTTCTCCTAGCCTTTGCCTAAGAAGAGCACACTCTGCAAGGCAGCAGGGCTTGTGGCAGGTGGTACTGGGTTACATGATACCAGTAGCAAGATTGATCTTGATTATCCTGACCTGACCTGGAGTTAAAGTTGCTTTGCAGTTTTTAAATCACCTTTATGCGGTGATAATAGAAATCAGTATAATTAGCGTAAATTTATATGCAGTTATTAACGGCCACCGTCCAATCAAAATGCTATTTTTTGTGTTGTTAAAATAATATCATCATGCATGAATAAACCTGTGGCGTGAAATTTAGGTGCTAAAATAATGAAAGTTATATTTTCATAAAGAAAAATATGTTTGTTAGAAATCCATTCCATTTTTGTTAGAAAAACAATGCATAGAAACATTGAGTTTTGACTTTGATTAAAGATGTCATTTTTGTGTAATATGAGCATGCTCAAATTACCCAGTATTTTCCATTGAAATTACCTAGTTTAAAGTCCTAAAATCGCAATAGTTTTAATTGATTTTTGAATAATGATTAAACATAGTAAAAATTATTTTAACAATTCTAAATATTTTTATGTAATTATTTTCGAAAAATTTGAATTTTTTTCATTCAAAGGTTTGCGTTGATAAAATTGAAAAAGTAACAAACTAATTTTTTGTGTGCAGAAAACATAGTAGTATTGTTTGAATAAAAATTGGTTTAAAGTTTGATCTTTTAATGATTAGTTTTGTTAATAACGAATCATTATATTCCAAAAATTAGTTCTAATTGTCAAGTTGGTATTTTTTTATGTAATTAATGTTCTTTTTTGGACTAATGCTCATATTACCTTTTATTGAAAATGCTCATATTACCAAGTGGTCTGGGTAATATGAGCACTTTTGCTACTTTATAAAATCTTTGTGTTTTTAAGAAAATATTTTGGGTGCCCAAATATCTAAGTGGATCATGAGTAGTGATCCCTAAAAATTGTTTATTTGCAAAAATTTTGGATCCAACATAATTATTTTTGAAAATATTCCAATTTTTTCTTAAGGTGCTCATATTACCCTATGTGATTTTCTAATACCTAATGTTAGTTTTAAGAATATTTCAACTTTCACAGATATTTTGCATGTATAATTTCATCAAACATTTATTTAATCTGTATTTAATCTGGACCTATTAATTGTTTATTAGTAGCATGTAGTTGTGTTATTTTAATTCCAAACTTTTTTAAATTGTCAGTTTCTATAACTGTAATTTCACCACCAGTGTAAGTTTTGAATTTTATTTTTCCATTTTTTGTTTTTAGTTGTATTACCCAAGGTCTGCTTAGAACTAATCAAAATCACAATAAATCAGATTTCACACTAAATACAATGTACTTAAATGCTGCTGTGGGGTTGACAAATTTTGTATATCGTTTTGCATACCTTTTCATCCACCAACTAAAGCTATCATTTTTTGTCTTTTCTACAAATACTAATTTAGTTGCAGTTCAAGTGAGTTATCATCTCTTGCTTCACCAACCGAAGCTATCATCTCTTGTCCACCATGCGAAGTTATCATCTTTTCACTATGCGAAGCTATCATTACTTGTTCTACCAATCAAAGCTATTGTAATATATAGTTATAAAAGGTTATCGTGATTATTGTGATAATAGATAGATGAAGATTATTGTATACTAAAAAAGATAGTAATCCAGATGTTTATTTTGTTCCATGTTAATGTGAATCAAAATATAGGCAATCAATATATAGGAAAAACAGGCTATTTGATAAAAACCAGAATGAAACAGTACCAATATTCAGTATTTCGTGGAAAATAGACAGAAATTGTTCTTTATGTTAGTTTGTTTATAATTATAGTATTGTGGAATATATAACACTCAATATGACCTAACTGAAAATGCCCTTAATGCTATGCAAGAATCCTGGATAGGTCTCTTGCTTTTCATGTTTATGTAAACATAAAAATTATTATTTTAGATTTTAGAAAATTTTTTAATGAAAAATGAAAAAAGTGAATTAAAAAAAAAATTTAATATTTTTTCTCAATGTTTTTTATAAAATGATTCATATTTTTAAAATTTTTACATAATTTTGCTTGATTTTCAAAAGTTCCAACTTTTGAAAATCTTTTTTTATAGGACTCAAATGAAGGCCAAGATCCTTAAACATAAGACAGGTTCCTAATATTTTTAAATAATATTAGGGACCTGTCTGATGTTTAAGGGTTTTGGCACACCCTCTAAAAAAAAATTTTTATTCAAAATATTTGTAAATCCAGTATTATTTTATTATAGAAAACACATTTAAGGGTTGGAGAACATCTGTTTAAAAGTCATTTTTAGAAACACCATATCAAAAGTTTATACTTTCAACCTTCTAAATTAGAAAAATTTTTAGCAATTTTTTTCTCAACTTCACTTAATCTTAAGACAGCTGCTTCATCCGTATGTTCCACATGCGTATGTTCCACATGCGTATGGGAACATAAAATATGGTCTGAAAAGTTTTTTTTTAATATGACTGGTATTCCGCGTAAGAACATTTTTGTTGCTAATTTTTTTTCTTTAATCTTAATTACTAATTCAGCACAGCCTTTATTTTTATTTTGACAATTTTTCAAAAGCTTTGAATATTCTTGGCAAGTTTTACACCAAATTAAAGGAACTTCATCTGAATCATTTTTTTTGAAAGTTACTGGATTTAAACCCCTATTTTTGCAATAATTATTCTGTATGACATATTACGACTTGTTTAGAGTTTTTTTTTGTGTAACAACAAAAAAATAGCTTTTTCTATTTTTAATTTCTTTAATAAAAAGCCTTAACTTGTTTCAAATTGAAAAAAATATGTTTCTTTATCAATATACTTTAAATAATATGTTTCTTACATTTTACTATCATAACTTAACTATAAGACTATAAGACTAAACTTTCATATTAAACTTTCTGTTCTTAAATAATTTGAAAAAAGTCGTAAACATGTAACCAAATAGTTTTACCTTATAAAATAAATTAATATTAGATTTTAACACTTAATAACAAAATAATGTCACTAAATTTCAAGTTAAACAACAAACATTTGAAATAATGGTGCTAAAATTTCAAGTAAAAAACGGTGAGAACAACAAACATTTGAAATGATGGCGCTAAAATTTCCAGTAAAAAAATGGTGAGAACAACAAGCATTTGAAAAGCTTTTTTCTATGCTTGTTATGAATTTGAGATTAAATGAAAAAATGAATAAAAAAAAATTAAAAGTTTTTTTTTAAATAAAAATTGTTTAACTTGAAAAAACAAATAATATATATATATATATATATATATATATATATATATATATATATATATATATATATATATATATATATATATATATATTGTATACTTTTTACAAAAATATATTTATGCATGCCGAGTACTTATAGAGATTCAGGTCTGCAATAGTATGCCAAAGTAAAGCAAGTTTCTCTTCCAAATTTAAAATTGGAGTTTTAAATTTGGAAGAGGACTTTACTGGTTGCAATTTGTATTTCTTACATTTACTCTGAATGCTTTAAGCATTTTCACATGGAAAATTGAAATGAAATTGATGGAATTTGAAATCTATTATAATTTTACATATAATTGCTTACATGGTTGTTTTATAATGTTGTTCTAAACCAAACATTAAAACATTGAAAATTGTTTAAGTTGTTGTAATAGGTCTATTTCATGTAATAGATACTATCTGCTTAGACTCTAAACTGTCAGATAAACTGTCAGCTACTGAAGCCCTTTGCATATTATATATATATGCACACACAAATTTAAAAATAAAATTTAATTCATAAATTTAAATAAAATTATTTAAAAACAGCAGTTAGGTTAGCAGTAATGGGAGTATGCATTATCCAGGGAGGTACCCCCTACCACAGAATTGGGGCAGCCTAGCCACCGCTCTGTGCTTGTGTGTGTGTATATACACTAAAATACTGGATCTGTCACTGAGGGTTAAAACAGAATTTTTTTTTTAATTTAAAATTACTCTAGTATGTTTGGTAAATAGCATTTTGTTTGTAAATTTTAGATCCCTTGCAATGGATTCAAAATCAAATTGAAAATGAAGTTGATCCTCGTATTTTAATAAGACAGTTGGTTCCACAAATAAAATTGGTAAAAATTTAATTGAATAGTTTTTTATTTTAAAAATAAATGTTTTTATTGCAAATCTTATTTTTATACAGGTTATAAACTTTATTATACTTGCTGTTGTAGGCTGTTTTTAAAATGATTGTTGTTTTTGTTGTTGTTGTTGTTGTTGTTGTTGTTGTTGTTGTTGTTGTAGACTGATTTTAAAGTTGAGCAAGTTCAAGTTTTTTCTTGTTTTTTCAAAATTCAATAGTATTAGTTTTTTGTTCTGTTAAATAGTTTTTAAAATTTTAGTACATAGTTAAATTCATTGTTTAATTTGATGCACAATTATTTTATTAATTCAAAAAAAAAAAAAAATTTCATTTTGTTATTTGTATAATAGACATTGCTCTAAAGAGCTAGCGTCTGTTGTTCCATCTACTAAAATTTATTCTCGTGTTACTCATCATTCAATTAAGTCTCATCCTTTTTCTGTGACTGTTCCTATGTGCTCCAAAAACTCGTATTCGTCTAGTTTTTTTCCTCGAACATCAATTATTTTAAATTTGCTTCCTTCGTCTTGCTTTCCTGATTCATATAATTTGCAATCTTTTAAGTTGTCTTTCAATCATTATTATGTTCTATAAACTTCATCTTATCTCTTCCGGTAACTTCAAAATCTAATAGTGGTTTCTTGCAGCCTTGTTGGAAGCGAAGATGTTAAAAAAAAAAATTGTGCTTATCTTATAAAAAGGTTTTGTAAAAATTGTAAATCTTGTATTTAGCTATTATTTTTATATTATAATATTTGTATATTTTATATTATTTTTATATTAATTGTATGTTGTTTAGCTTTTTTAGCTTTCATATTATAGAGCAGAAATTTACAGGAGCAGAAATTTACGAATGATATATGAAATAAAAAATGAGTAGACACAACTGATTAGTTAAATGCATTTTACAAAATATACATAGTACTCATAGTTGTATTTTTTACACTGTTAAAAATGTCATCAATGGTTGTTCTCTTTTTATATTGGTGAATTATGCATGTTAAAAATCACGTAGATATGTGTTGAAAGTCACGCGTTATTTCAATTGTAATTAAAAGTATTCTCATGGGACTTTTTTATTTTATATATATAGAGACGATTTTTGTATAGAGTTAGGGAGGTTAAAAGAAAGCTATAAAATAATACATTTTGTTTATTCAATTCATGGGCGCGACGATCCAACAATGGTCAAAGAACCTGTTTTTGAACTTCGTGAATTAGTGCTATCTTATTCAAAAGAGTGCAAACACATTATAGCTGATTTCTGTGAAATCAGAAGTCAATGATGGTTTCCAAGCTAATAAAAGAAATGAGAACAAAGAAAAAATGATGTCAGTGATAAAAAAATAAACAATTAAAGTGTAAGTTCAAGAAACATGAATGATCAAGTGTAATTGTCAATAATGCAATAAGTAAATTTTCTAATAGCAATTATGAAAGGAAAAATAACTTTTTTAGGCAGTTACATTTATTTATTTAAAAAGTCATCTGTAGCTGATATCAACTTGATACATGTTATGTCTTGTTGAAAATGGTGATTGCAATAACAATGATAAAGGTTTAGGTATTTGTAACAGTTTGGAGGAGGAGGGGGAGGGGGTTTAGAGTTTTGTGACAACTTGTTACTAAACAATTACAATGTTGTGGCGAGTGGAGGAGGGCTCAAAAATTGTGTGATATAATTTATAGATAACCCTTTTGCAAAGAAAATGCAGAGCTAGTTCTACTTTTATTATTTAAAAATTGCAATTAATAATCCTAAAACAAAGCTTTTTTAAGGACTATTAATTGCAATAATTCTAAAACAAATCTACAGTTGTCAGTACTGACAACTGTAGGAGAGCCCAAGGTTCTGGTACAAGAATACTATACATTCTCATGTGGTGCGAAAATTGCTCTAGAATTCCAACAAACATAAGATAACCAAAATGAGACTTCATGCCTAGCACTGCATGAAGTCTTACTTTAATCACCTTGTTAAGTTCTTTGTGTTGATTAAAGATCATCTCGCCACCCTATATTTTCTTTCTCTTCTTTTTCTAAGTTAGCTGATTCCTATGGCTGATTGACTTCTTTCAGGTGTTCATAGTTATTAAGTATTTATATTGAAAATGGAAAGTTAGATTCAACAAACAGTTGATCAAATACATGCTTTAATATTCTCTTTAGTATAAATAATAGATAGTTTTATCAATGCCAAGGTCTTAAGTTTTATCTTACAATTGTACAACAACACTGGTATTGTATACAATTATCTTTATTAACTGATGTAAATTGAATTTATCTAAAAAACTTTCTATTGCATATGCTAATGTTTGTAATTTGGAAACAAAACATATAAAAATAAAACATTTACCACAACCTGGTGTTCTACCTTATTTATATATTTTTATCAAAGTGTAGAGACTAATTTTCATTATTTGAGTTTTCTTTGTACAATTCTTTAAGCATCTGTGCTTCTTTGCATACAGCTTTCTAAATTCCTGACTGAGATAAAGTTTCAATATGAAGAAAATCTTTTTAGAGAATTCTACAAACATCGTGGGCTTTGTTTAATGATTTTTCCTCACCACACTTGGGTACTTTTAGTTGCGTGATAAACTTTTTATTTCTTTTTCTAATTTACTAGACTCATTGCTGACATTTTCATAACTATCAGATCTAATTTTTTCACTAAAACTGCTCATTGAAACTTCACTAAAAGTGCTCATTGAAACTTGTTTCTGTAACTGCATTTCTTCTTCTTTTGGGTCAATGATTGGTTTCTATACATAGTTCTTTTTTTCACTAGTGTTACTAACTTTACCTTAAGATTGCAGCTTCAAATAATTTATTTGCTTATCTTAAGCACAGAAACATACTTCATAAAGTTTGATTACATCAAATAAATTTGACAATGGTTCTTCAGTTTTTACATTTCGTTTCTTGAGAAACAAATCATGTTTGCTGATTTTATCATTGACTAGTCTCATTACACTTTTGATTTTTGAATAAAATTCACAAAGTTTTAATCTTACTTATCTTGATTAAATACAATCAACAAGAGGCAATTCTCAAGCAGTGTTGACTCCAAGGAGTTGAAAAAACCTTTTTTAAATAATTAAAACAATTTTTGACATTTCTTTAGCAAGTCACTAAAATATTAGTGAAATTTCTTTCCAATATACTTCTCAAATTAATTCCTTATAGTTTTTGCATGGCATTTACAGGGATTATTTTTTTCCATATCTTTCCGGAATTCCTGATATTTTTCTCAACTTTAAGTTTTTCTGGATATCCAAAACATTTTCAATACATACAAGTTTAGGTGTATGTTTTTGTGATATATTTGCAAGCTTTTTCACTCATCACTCATGCAAAAATTATAGTAAGTTTCAAAAAAAAATTATGAAACAACTCAGCTAAAAGCAAAATTTAGAGGAAAATAAGGAAAAATATATTCCAGGTTTTCTGGATATTTTACCCAAACAATTTTCTGGAAATAGTTTTTATTACAATTGCTCTCTAGAAAAAACATTTAAAAATCAATACAATTGAAAAAGGTCAAATATAAAAGCCTTTTACTAAATATATATACTAGGGTGTCACAAAAAACTACTTTTTTTTGAAAATGTCTGCTCTCACCCTCCTCAATTTGTTCTATATAATCAAATAAAACTGGGTTTAAAAATGTTTGAATAAAAAGTTTTTTTAGAGGTCGCTATAGTTTTATCTGACCTGTCTGATGTTTAAGACCTTTAAACATCAGACAGGTCTGATATTTAAAACTCAAATATTGTCAAAATCAAATATTAAAAAAAGTTATATACTTTTAAGACCCAAAATAACATACTTTTGAAGAATTTTTTTTTTGATAATATTATTTTATTATATTACACATTTAGAGGGATGAGAGCAGACAAAAAAAGTAGATTTTTGGGACACACTAATGTATAGTTGTGCAACTGATTTATAAAATGTGTTAGTGAGGGCTGTGAAGTCAATATATAAAATATGCCCCAATCATGATCCAACCTATCATTAAGCGATATTAACCCTTAGTAAATCTGAGTAACTCTAATTGCAGAAATCTTACACCATATAATGGGAGTACTATTTAATAGTGTTTGTTTAAGTTCTGTTAGAAGCAGTACTTAAGAAGGTTAGTGAAGTTTTTCAATAAAATGAACGGTTAAGCCTTTCTTGCTTTATATACATATTGACATAGAAAAGAGAAGAAATAGAAAATTGGTTATAGTTGTGTCATATCACCAAAAACTATTCCCTAAGTTCATATTAAATTGTTTTAGGTAATCACTATTAAAAAAAAATCACAGAAACAATTATTAATGAACTAAAATCTTAATTAAATAACTTAATAAGTACAGTCTTTGAAAAAAGTTTAAGACCACCACGTATAAATGCTATACTTGTGAGCTTGTGTAAATCCAACTATAAATATGTATGTCAGTATATTAATGTTAACATAAGAATAACAGGGTTAGCAAAAAAGCACAAGAATAACATAGAGAAAGTCAGTACAAGAATAACATAAAAAAAAAATCTATACCTAACCATACCAAGATTTATCAGTTAATGTATGTAAACTTCAACTCTTAGAATTAAGGTTAATGTGGACCTAACTGCTGACCTAAAAGTGTCTGAGGTGAGGAATTTTTGTCAACTTTGTTTCTATGTTGTTATGGTGAAACCTTTATGTTAAAATTTTTCTGCCAGCCAGATGCCAAATAAAAATAGTTTAACAGTTAATTATTTTTTCTGAGGACTGAAGTTTTATTTCACATATTAGTTCATATAATTGTGCCAATCACAGTTTATCAATTCTACCTAACTGTCAGGTATGATTTTATAAAAACGTAATTTTTGTTACTTCTAGCGATCATTAATTATAAATATTCTTGAAGTTAAAGTGAAACAATAGTTTGTTTTTTTTTGCAAAACTTTTTAAACATTTTTTTAAACATCTTTACTTCCAACAAGGCTGAAAGCAAACACTATTAGAGTTGAAAGTTACTAAAAGAGAAAAGGTGACGCTAATAAAACAAGATAGTGATTAACAGACAAATTTAAAAAAATTGTATGAATCAGGAAAATAAGATAACGCAAGTGAATTCCAAAAAACTAATGTTCAAGGAAAAAAATCTAGGTTTTAAATAATTTTTGAAGCACATAGGAACAGTCGCAGTAAAAGACTTGATTAAATGGCATGAAATATATGTGTGAGTGTGTATATATATATATATATATATATATATATATATATATATATATATATATATATATATATATATATATATATATATATTGTTTTAACAAGTTTTACATGTCTTTCAACATTTTGGCTGTGACACCCACATCTTAACTTAAGTGGTTTTTTGATAAATTCGAGTACTTTTTCTTTTTCAATCAGTTTTAAAACCGGTGGATTTGTGTGCCATACAGCACATTTTGTGTATGCTATTATGGCGCACAGAATTGTGTGCCATAATAACATACACAAAATGTGCTCGAAAAACCTAATGGAACCATGTGAATGACCGGTATTAACATTTGTTTCATATGCCTTTACTAAGTTCAGTCTTGTTTGAAACTCTGTTCACTGTAGTGATTTGAATATTCCATGCTATTCTCTCAGTGCTTTTTGGTGCATTGTGATCAAGGTAAAAGTCACCTGAAAATAGAAATTTTTAATAACACAGATACAGAATATTTTTTAAATATAGGTAGTTTCATAATTTATGCTTGATACTTAGTAGTACTTACCTGACTCACCAGTCATGAAGTAATGCTTCTCCAGCAGTGTTAAAGTGTGATATTTCCCATTAATTTAACAATTTGCAAGGGTTGCATCTCTCCTGCCATCAAAGCCTATGTCTGTGACATTTTTAAACATAATTTTTTCTTTATGCACTTCTGCTTGCATTTATTCTTTTTCCCTTAATTTATTTCTGAAAGATATTGTTTTGTTACAACAATTATAGTTATAACTAAATAATTGTAGATAGGTATTTAATTGTGATTTGTATGATGTAAATGCTTGTCAGCAATGTGCTGCATTTTATCTTTGGTCATAACTCCAAAATCTATGTTGCAGAAGTAATAGTTGCATGTATAAAAAAAAAAGCTTTTAATATTAATTTATTATGAATATATCTTAATGTCTAATGAAGCATTGATTTGAAATAAATTTTTATTTATTTATTTTTTCTGATTTTGGTTACTTTTAATGATCAACTAAAGTTACAAAAAAAAAAAAACAGATCAACTACCTGTCACACATTTCAGCAACCATTCGTAGCTTTGTTCAGAATTGTTGAAAATTGAAAATGATTTGAAATAAAAAAGTAACTGGGGCATTTTAGAATCTGATTTCTCTATTTTTCCAGATACTAAAAGACTTTCTTTTTCAAGTCCTTTAAAAGAGCAACTTGCTTTCATCTCAAAAGAATTCAGGTGCCAAGCATTCTTTAAACGAAAAATTTCTTGAATAACTCTTTTTTTGAACTTGGCTTCAGAAGGTGTTTCAGGAACTAGTTTAGAAATGCAGTACCATATTGGTTTTTTGATCCTGAAAAGGAAATTTTCTTTTTTAGACACACATTTTAAATCACTTCTTATCTCTACCTATTGGATGTTAAATGTAATTTTAAGAATTAAGTGGATGTTAAATGTAATTTAAAAGTGTTCAAGAAAATGTCTTAAAGTTGGGTCTAAACTTTTGATGTTATAATCACACCATAAAGTTTGTAATCTGTCATTTTTAATAGAAACTTCTTTTCAATTTTTGCTAGTTTCTTATGATCTTTTTGATGGACATCAAATAATTGATTTGTCTCTTCTATAAATCCTGCTGCATCTATTTCATATTTATTTGTATATATGGGTATATAACATTTATCCAATATTGCCATTAGAATTAAAACAAAGCTAAGCTTTGTTTTAATTTTAATGGCAATATTGGATAAATGTTATATACCCATAGATTGATTAGTTCAACACTAACATCTCTCTAAATAGTTCTACACTAATATCTCTCTAAGTTCTACACTAATATCTCTCTAAGTTCTACACTAATATCTCTCTAAATTCTACACTAACATCTCTCTAAATCGTTTCTATAGTAAGTAAACACATCTTTCAATCACTTACTTTAAAGTAGAAAGTTTTCTGAAAGAAAATTGTTTAGAATGTTTAACGGGGGCATAGTAAAACAGCTGTAGAACTCTAAGTTTCCTTATTATATTAATATTAAATAATTTTAACTTTTAATTATTTTTAAAAATAATAAATTTAATAAAATGATTTATTTTTAATAACCCCTTTATTGTTTTTAAAAAAAGGTGAGGTTGACACATAGCAAGTTGAAATCATCAGCTTGCTTTTTTTTTTTTAATTTTTGTTTTTTAAAATGCTATAAACAAAGCAACTTTATAGTTCTATAGATTTTATATTCTATATATAAACATGTTGTATACTCATTTTTCTTGCATGAACTCAACTTAGTTGTAAAAAAAACTTGAAATGTAAAACTAAAATAACCTAAGTATCTCAATCATGACACATACTCAACAAATTTCCCCCCATTTTTTGATGTTTTTAGAAATTTTAGCTTTTTTAAAAATCTTTTCGTTTGTTAAAGTGTATAATGTCGTTACATATGTTTGTATATAATCTCTATAAAAATTCACAAGTGTATTGTATTTTGAAAAATCTTAAAAAATTAAAGCCGCTGGTGGTAAGATTTGAACCATGGCTTTTATATATATATATATATATATATATATATATATATATATATATATATATATATATATATATATATATATATATATATATATATATATATATATATATATATATATATATATTATAACTTACTAAAACATATATTAAGCTTTACAGTTTTACTTTCTCTTGAAAACTACATTTTGTCAAACTCTCCTTAATTTTGATCTATAGCATTTATTTCCTTAATAATAATAATAATAAAAAATTATTATATAGTTTTAAAAATTAGCAAGCTAATGTGCCAGCATGGCCATATGGTTAGCACGCAGAGCTTTTGAACAAAAAAGGCATGGTTTGAGTCTTACCACCGGCAACTTTAATTTTTTAAAAAGGCATCTTTAATTTTTTGATAAGATTTATATCATATCAGAGCAAATTTAATTTTTTCTTAAGATATATATCACCACCGGTGTCTTTAATTTATTTTTAAATATATATCATATCAGAGATATGATATATTATAATATTTAAATACACAAAATAAATTTTTATTAATCAACTTTTTTTTAATTTAAATTTATACTATTTAATTGTTTTCTGTAAAATAAAATAAAATATTGTGTTTTTACTAATCTAAAATTAATTTGTAATTATTTTTTCATTGCGGTAGTGGTATAGTGGTAGAGCGCTCGCCTCATAAGCGAGAAGTTCAGAGTTTGATCCCCACCTTGTTCCTGGTAGTATCGCGCTCAACTTGTTTCTCCACGCAGCGGCCTTGTTTGTCGAGGTTTGTGTTTCAGAGTTATAGAGTTGAGAGAGGATTGTAACTAAAAAAGTAGCCTCCTCGACTGTAGTGGCCTTCTCGACCTTGGGGAGGTGAATAATTTAAAAAATTAAAAAAGAAATAATTAAAAAAAAATTTTTTTTTTTAATTTTTAGGTTTTTCTAAATATTTTTTGTCAAAGACAAATTTTGACAGAAAACATTTTGAAAAATCTAAAAAAGTATATAATCATATTTTTAGCCCCACGATGTTGAAGATTCAACACTTTGGAATGTGATTTTTGAAATTATAAGCGAGCCATCTCCGCGTAAACGTCTTAGTAATATCAACTCTCTAGATCATGTGAAGAAACTTATTCAAGAAAGCAAAAATATCATAGTTTTAACAGGAGCTGGAGTAAGTGACACATTTCTTCATTTTTATTAAAAGTTTTTATTTAATTGTTTTTGAAAAAATGTAATAAAGCTGAAATGATCTTCATAAGCACATTTTATTGTGTTTTAATATAAATATATACATTAATTACTTTCTGAGATCTTTTAGTTTTTCCATAATACAGTTCAATGGTTTAAACTGAGAAAAAACTTATTATCATTAGTTAAAAATATTTTTGTGTTTTAAATTGTAACTAAAAAAAACTTTAAAAAAAATTACATACAAAACAAGGTTACTACAAAATTACATGGAAAAATATTGTTTTTAAACATCTGAATTGCTAAAAGTTGTATTTTTTAATTGTTTCCAGTTTTGGAAGGTTTTTGTTTTACTGTGAAAGTTTTCTTTTCTAATACATAGGTTTCCAATAATTTTTAAAAAAGCGAAAAAAACGAACTGTCTTGTGAATCTCATTATGATTTGGTTTGAACTCACTTCTATACTTTGTTAAAATTTACAGTTAAAAAGCAGCCTTATAAGCTTTTTTTAAATTTTTTTTATAAATATTTTATCTTGTACAGATTTCTTTTTCCTGTCTTGAAAAAAATAAAACACCTTGTAATATTTCAGGGACAATTAAATGTGAATTCTAAAGCAAAAATTCTTATTCTTATTCCAGTTTTTGTATTTTTAATTTTAATTCATTGGAGTTAAATTTTGAAATATTTTTTTAGGTATCTGTTTCTTGTGGTATTCCAGATTTTCGTTCCAGAGATGGGATTTATGCCAGACTTCATAAAGACTATCCTGATCTTCCTGATCCTCAAGCCATGTTTGATATTCACTATTTTAGAAATAATCCTTGGCCTTTTTTTAAGTTTGCAAAAGTATGTTTAATTAGTTAAATTTTTTGTTCAAAAAAAAACAACTGAAATACTCCCCTCCCCTTTACAAACAAAAGAAATTAAATTAATTTTTTTGTCATCAGGAAATTTATCCAGGTCAATTCACACCTTCTTTATGTCATCGTTTTATTTCAAAACTTGATCAACAAGGCAAGCTACTTCGTAACTATACTCAAAATATTGATACTTTAGAACAGGTGGCTGGCATTAAAAATGTTTTACAGTGTCATGGTAAAAAAGTTTCATTTTTAGTACATGTTATAATGCTTTATAAAATTAATAAAGCATTTATTAACTTTATAAAGCAATAATTAATAAATTATATAATTTATTAATTTTATAAAGCAATATTAATAAATTAATCTAAAATTAATAAATAAGACACAAATTTAATAAACGTATACATTAAGATAATTAAAGCATATATTACAAACATATCAATTTATATGTTTATTAAACATTGATTAAATGTTAACAATATTTACTAACAATTTATTTTTGTAAATGTTTAATAGATTTTTAATAAAAATATACATTAAATGGGTTTAGTGTACATTTCAATTCTTTTAAATATATGTTTAATCAGTTAAATGTTTTTAGTATTTGTTTATAATGGTCAATTTTTTTAACCTTTGATCAATGCTTCATAAACATATACATTAAAATGATTGTAGCGTATGCCCAACATTACATAAAACTATATATATGTAGTTCGAATATTTTTGATGGTTTTGTTTGAATGGTTTAAACTTTTAAATCAAAAAAATTTTAATTTCTTAGTTACTAATTTTTCTCATTTCAGAATACATAATTTCTAAACATATTTTTAAAATTTATTGCACCACAAGTAATCTTGTGGTACTTTTTACAGTAAATGTCAGAAAACTTACTAAGTATAGGATAATAATAATTCCACATTTTCAAGTTTAATGCTTTACATCATTAAGACTATGAAATAAACAGCTAATTATTTGCAATAAAATAGTAATAGGAGCGATTCAAAACATATATTATACTAAATTTAGACGCTTTACATATGTTCAAAAAGACTAAATTTAAATGCTTTTTCTTTGTTTTATAGATGTTGATAATTCGTTTAATAGAATGTTGAAAATACATTTTGTTTTCATTTGCATCAATTACTTATTTTAGTTGAATTAAAAAATATATGTGAGGTTTGTTATTAATGTTAATCTGGATTTCATTCACAACAGATAGTTGACCAAAACTAAATGTTTTGTCCAAACATTGTTTTAACGTTTTAAAAGTGTTTATGTGTTTATTGCATAGTTTATCATTATTTTATGGAAACCACCACAATGTGCAGAAATTATCCAATTATTATAGAATATATTATTGTACACAATATCATTAATGCAGTAAGTGTTGATTTTGCTCTGTGAATTATGTAAAAAAAACTTTGTAAATTATGTAATAAAACCTTTGGTTTGTAAACTTTGTTGAAATGCAACTTTACATTTTGCGAAACTTTTATTTAAAAGATTGCTATGTTAAAAATTGATCTGTGTAAATGATATTAAAAATTTTTATTTATTTGCAATCTTGGATGCATGTTGTCTAAAATAACATTCTTGAAATCTATATTATTTTACAGGATAGCCATTATGAATTGATGATATTTTAATATAAATTTTGATATTGGGTAATTAAGTTTTAACTTTTATAACATTTGTTGATCATTAGGATCTTGTGCGACAGCGACATGCATGAACTGTAAATATAAAGTTTCTGCGGAATTTATCAAAGAAGATATTTTTCAACAGGTATATTTAAAGAACTTCATAGAACATAATATTTTGAGAACTTCATAGAACATAAAATTTAAAAACTTTATAGAACATAATATTTTGATAACTTCATTGAATATAGTATTTTAATTTTGTAAAAATTTAATAAAAAAGTTTATTTGAAATTTATGGGCGTTTCATATTGAAAGAGAAGTACGATGAGGTTTTTTTGAGAATTTGAAAAAAACAATTTGCTATCAAAGTTTTAATAGTGTTTATGTTTTTTTATTTAGAAAATTCCATATTGCAATCAATGTTCTGACCCTAACTCGCTTAATATATTAAAACCAGGTAATTTAGAAAAACTATTTTTAAGCAGTAAATTAGTTTGTTATGCTTTATTCTTTTTTAAAGTGAATAGGAAATCAACTTATTACTGAATTAATGAAAATTTGTGATATATATTTCAATTTTGATACAAAAAACAATATGCGCTTGTTTTATTTTTGTAAAGTTTTAGAAAAACTTTGTGTAATACCAAAAGCAGATACAAAGTATCAGATAAAAATAGATATAAAGTGTCAGATAAATTTAAGTTAACTTTAAAGAACCTTAGAAGCATATGTTGAAACTGAGTCTTAGAAGCATATGTTGAAACTGAGTCTTAGAAGCATATGTTAAAACTGAGTCTTAGAAGTATATGTTGAAACTGAGTCTTAGAAGCATATGTTGAAACTGAGTCTTAGAAGCATATGTTGAAACTGAGTCTTAGAAGCATATGTTGAAACTGAGTCTTAGAAGCATATGTTGAAACTGAGTCTTAGAAGCATATGTTGAAACTGAGTCTTAGAAGCATATGTTGACTCTGAGTCTTAGAAGCATATGTTGAAACTGAGTCTTAGAAGCATATGTTGAAACTGAGTCTTAGAACCTTATGTTGAAACTGAGTCTTAGAAGCATATGTTGAAACTGAGTCTTAGAAGCATATGTTGAAACTAAATCTCAGAATGCTGTTCTAGATTTTAAAAATTAGGTTTTAAATTAGATTTAGAAACAAGTTGTAATTAAAAGAATAATTTGAATTCTGTTTTTAGTTTTAATTTAATGTTGTTGTTTTTTTAACAATAAAAAGTGCTTAGGAAGTTAATAATTCTTTTGAATGCTCCTGATATTACATTGTGACCCCTAATGCAATGGTTTTACATTAATATCAAGTTTCAAAATAAAATAGAGGCTTACATTCTAGAATTCAATGTTAAATTACATTTTTGCATAAAAAATACATTTGGAATTATAAAAAAATGATTTAAATTTTGATGAAAAGATATTTTTTCAAATTTTGTCTAAATAAAAAACTTTAAAATTAAAATATTTAAATTGGTTTTGTAGAAAAAAATTTCATAATTGCCAACTTGGAATAGAGCAAAATTTCATAATTGCTAACTTGGAATAGAGCAGTTAGTTATACTCCATTAGTATATTCATCCATGCAGTGATTTTAATAATAAATCAAATGTTAAATTCTCAATTATTCAGGAAAAATTTATAAACGGCTTGGGAAATACTTTCATTTTAAATGAATTGAGAAATACAGTCATTTCAATTGGTTTTAGGGTAGATTCAACTTTTGTCGTTCTATACGAAAGAGTACACTAAAGTAAGTATAAATAAAAAAAAAAAAAAGTAAAGTGTTAAACAAAGTTTGTTTCTTTTGCATTTAATGAAAGCTAAAACAAAAAATCTTATAAAAAGTGTGGCCTTCTAATTTTCTGATCTATCTGAAGATGTAAAAAAAAAAATTTTAATTTGTTTTTGTATTTGCAAAATTAAAAATTCTCATCTAAGTAAACAAAAAATTGACTTTAAATTCTTAAAACTAAAATTAAATTTAGTAAAAATAAAAAAGTTTTTGTAAAATGTTTTATGATGATCTTGATATAGATGACTGACTGTATAAAAATTTTTTTTTTTAATTTGAGAACGAAAGTCAGGCAACTTTTATTATCTGCTTTCAGAAAAATTGAAAGTTATTTTTACAGTTTACAGAGCAGAAATAAACAGGTAAGTTTCATAAGCATAATACAATAAAAGAATTTTTTCATATATAAAAAGAATTATGTAACATTTATCCAATAACATAAAAAACATAATCTCATCAAGTTAGATTAAGTAGCAATAATAAAATTTTATTACGTCAATATTCAAATAGTCTATCTCTTATTTTTGATAGTTTCTAACCTTTTGAAACTACTTTCTAAAGCGTCAGAATCTAGCGGTTAGAATCTAACGCGACCAACATTTCCTTATAGTCTATTTTATTTCAGTCAAATTATTTTAAAAAATGCTGCTAAAAAGAAATATGAACAAAATGGTAATTTATGTAAATAAAGATTAATATAATGAATATTTTTTATTATATAACTTGTTATAGATTTTACGTAATTTTAAAACTGTAAATAAAGACCGAATTTTTAAAACTTTTTTTTTTCTATATAATGTAGTAGAAAAACGTTTTAAAAAGTGGATTTTTATTAATGGTTTCAAAAATAAGTAAAATATATAACATGTTATATAATAACAAATGTTTATTATGTTAATATATATCTATATTCTTGATTTAATTTGTGTATTCCACAAGAATATAGGCTTCATTCTTTGTTAAGATGTACATCTTTATTTTGATCACTCAAATTAATATAACTTTGCTTCTAATTAGGCTAGAAACATAAGTTTGGTATCAATGTGCAGCATTTGATGGCCTCTTTTATCTAAACATGCTTTGAAGTCAAAATATTTAGTTTATATTTTTCATGAAACTGCCTAAGCAAGATCCTTTCAAACTTGATGATGATGATGGTCAAGATTTTCAAAATTGAGTTTGGTGGTTGTTGTAGTTCAAAATCGTATCTGGTAAAAAGTTTGAGCAAAAAATCAATTTATTAATAAATTATTAATAAATATATTAAAAATATTGAAATGCTGATTTTGAAGAGTATTTCTTAAAAGGTTTTCAGTGGTGTACAGTGGATTTTTAGATGCTTGAGTTTTGACACTTACAGGCAAACTCCAAACTTTTGTATGTTCATGCTTATGTCAAATGAAAATGTTTTGCAAAGAGTTGTGGTGATTGGAGCTTGAAGGCAATAAAAACCCTATTTCTTGGCCCACCCAGCCCTTAACGTGGTAGCAACAAGTTTATAAAATAATTTATAAGTTTTTATTCATCAACAAATTTTAAATTTTATACAATAACCTCTTAGTGTTTAGTTTTTATGACCTTACAAATTTTACAGCCCCCTCAAATTGAGGGGGGGAGGGTTTAAAACTTTATATGGTCATAATTTTCGAAAAATAAGTGATTATTGCATGAAATTTTAAATTTGTTTATGAATATAAACTTAGATAAAAATACTAAAAAAATTATTTTATCAACTTGTTGCTCCCGCGTAAAGAGCTGGGTGGGCCCAAAAAAATTTTTTTTTTATCTTGTTTATTTCCTGCTTTTCTTTTAAGTATTTTGTTTAAAATTTATAACTTTGTGAAGTTAGTTTTTCTACTGTAAAAAACTTGAATGAAATCAAAAAGTGGACATCAAAAAGAAATTTTTTTTTTTTTTTTTTTTTTTTTTTTTTGACATCATTTCTAACAAGGCAACCACTATTAGAGTTGGAAGTTAATGGAAGAGAAACACAATTTCTTTCTATTAATGGGATAGAATCTGAATTAATAAAATCAACAAATGGTGTCCTGAAAGGCTCTGTATTCATAAAAACTAGGCAAATAAGAGTTTTTCGAGCGCTTAGGAACAGTCACAGAAAAAGGATGAAACTTAATTGAATGACGAGTACTCAGTACACTATTTAATTAAAAAATTAATAATAATTAAATTATCTCATTCTCTAAAACTTTTATTTCATTCTCAAAAACTATTATATCATTCTACTTCATCATCAGAATCCCTCTATCATCACACCTCTTACAACTACCTTTAAGCTGACTGGGACTCTTTTCATGATTTTTTTCCTGATGGTCCTTGGGTAGAAATCTTTTGCCTTCCTGCTAACAAATGTGCTTCTTACATAACTTCTTGGATTCAGGTTGGCATGGAATCTTTTATTCCTTCTCAACGATTTCAAGTCAAGCCTTACTCTTCTTTATGGTTTTCCTACCTTGTACTGCAGCAATTTCCAATCGAAACCATAACTTCCATATCTATCAGCAAAACAATTCTTTAGAAAACAGACATCTGTTTACAATTGCTAGAAACCATTGTAAAAAGGTTTTGCTTAAGTTCAAAGCTTGCTATTCTCAGGTTATGAAATTTTGTATTTTATCTCAAAATATAGGCTCATGTGACTTTTGGAAAATCTTTAACAATATCTATAATAAGGGCAAATCTGTTATTCCACCTCTTTTATTTGGTTCAGATTTTGTCACCTCACCTAAAGACAAAGCTGAATTGTTTGCTAAGAACTTTCCATCTCTTGATTCCACCTGTTGCATTCTGCCTGATATAGCAGACAATCAGGTTGATCCATCGCTTGACATTCGTATCATTCAAGCTTCTGTATCTAAAGTGATTTCCTGCTTAGACTTTTCTACAGCTTGTAGTCCAGACAACACACCTGTTATAGTCTTGCAGAAGTGTTCTCCGCAGCTATCGTCTATACTTTCAAAACAATTTAACAAGTGCTTATCAAAGTCTTGTTTTTTAGCCTGCTGGAAAGCAGCATCTGTTATCCGTATTTTTTAAAATTCTGGAGAGCGATCTGACTTGTCTAACTACTGTCCCATTAGTCTTCTTTCAATCATAAGCAAGGTTTTTGAATATGTAATTAACAAATACTTAATAATTTATCTTGAATCTCATAACTTATTTCTGATCATCAATATGGATTTCGATCTTCTCGTTCTACAGCTGATTTGCTAACAGTAATAACCGATAGGTTTTATTGTTCTTTAGGTAGATGTGTAGAGGTTATTACTCTTGACATTACTAAAGCTTTTGATAATGTTTAACATGCTGGTCTTCTCCATAAGCTCTCTTCTTACAGTGTATCAGGTAACATCTTTAAGATTTATAAAACCTTTCCAATCATAGTACAAATGTTGTCCTCAATGAACAGCGCTCTACTTCATATCCTGTAACTTCAGGTTTATCCTTGGGTTATCCAAGGTTCTATCCTTGGCCCTATACTCTTTTTAATTTACATTAAAGATCTTCCAGATATTCTCACATCTAAGGTAGCATTTTTGTCTGATGATGCTACCATTTATTCTTGCCTTGATAAGAAGCCAACATTCTCTAAATGTTTGGAGGGGACCTTTGAGCTTGAAAAGGATCTTACATCTGCTACATCATGGGACTCACAATGGCTGGTGAACTTTAATTTAGATAAAACTCAATTTTTTTCAGCTAATCATTATTGAAATAATCAAAATCTTCCTATATTTATGAACGGCAATGTATTTGATGAGTCATCTATCTTTCATCTTCTTGGATTAACTCATACTTTTGAGCTTTCTTGGAAACCATATATCAAATCGATTACATAATTTACATCTGCTAAGGTTGCATCTTTTAATTGTGCTCACACTTTTATACTCAGGATTCTATTCTTTATCTCTATAAATCTTAAATCTGTCCTTGTATGGAATACTGTTACCATATCTGGGGTAGATCTTCCAATGATGCCCTTTCTCTATTAGACAAGGTGCAAAAATGCATTGTAAATATAGTTGGACCTGATCTTGTAGCCAACTTCCAACATTTATCCCATTGTCGTAATGTTGCTTCTCTTTCTCTTTACTACAAATACTATAATGGGCACTGCTCTAAAGAGCTGGCGTCTCTTGTGCCATCTGCTAAAATTCATTCTCGTGTTACTTGTCATTCAATTAAGTCTCATCCTTTTTCTGTGACTGTTCCTCCAAGCGCTCCAAAAACTCTTACTCGTCTAGTTTTTTTCCTCAAACATCAGTTCTTTTAATTTCACTTCTTTTATCTTGCTTTCCCAACTCATATAATTTGCCATTGTCTGTCAATCGTTATCTTGCTCTATAAGCTTTATCCTTATCCTTTATCCTTTAATGCCTGAAGAGTCACTGACACAAGAGTCAAGCCATTCAGTGTGATGAGAATTAAAGTTACCAACAACAGCGATATTGGCTGATAGATAAAGAGAGAGGTCTTGGTCAATATGGTCAGAAATAACTTAGAAAAGAGTGCAGTCTTGAGATGAAGAAGAGCGATATAGAACAAAGAGAAAGGTAATAGATTAAAGTGGTGCTAAACAAAAGCACATAAAAGAATAGTTGGTGAATTCAAACCTAGTTTCCTGACAAATGGTTAAATTCTTATGATTGTAAATGCCCAGGCCAAGCATGTGACTATTAATGTCTTTACCAATTAAAAGAAGATAATCATCAACACTAAGATCATAAGATGAGACAGCCAAACTTGAATTAGTTTCACAAAGTGCAAGTTGGTCTGGTGAACTTTGCAAGATAAAAGTCTCAACAGAAAAAAAGTTGCTTCAAAGACCACGAATATTAGTGAATGATAGGTTTAGAAAGCTTGTTGATGATAATGGTTTTTTGAGTTTTATGGTTTTTGGTATTGTAGTCATTAAATTTGTTAAAGAACTTGACTCAAAGCACAGATAGTATTCAGTGCACTATTTAATAGTCCAAGCAATTGCCTCAATACTATTATTAAACTCTAAGCCGTAAAGGCTCCAAATGTGGCCTAGACAATGCACACCAAAAGTACAAACAGGGATACCGCCCATGCGCAACATGGCACTGTTAGTACTCTGATATTTTACAGCTGTTAAAGGAATCAGCTTTTCTGAGAGCTACCAAAGAGTTTGGGAAAACTGACTACCAGCTGGTCTCAGAACCGTAAAACTGAGTTTTAGAGCTGTACAGTCATTAGGAGTTAATAGAATGAGTTGCCTAGTCATATAAAGATACAAGCAAAATCCATGCGCTGAGTTAAGAAGATCCAGCATTCAACATCCTAAACTGGAAATAATGTATAATAAATACATCTGCGCTAGCCTAATAGATAATGAAGGGGTACAAGGCTGGTCAACAGATAGAATCTGTTTACCCTTTAAGTTTTTGCCTAGGAGGCCTTCTACAAGACAGTAGCCAGATGCATTAAACGTTTTCTTAAGATAAATATTTTTATCGAGACACCCTTCTTTAGCCCTTAATCAACCAAGAGCCTTGAGGCAGGGGGGTTTGTCGGAGTTGGCTTCTCTTAGCCTTTGCCTAAAAAAGCCTATCCTACAAGGCATCAGAACATGAAGCAGGTTGTACTGGGTTACATGTTACCAGTAGCAGGATAACCTGACATTATAAAATTATAATAAGTGTGTTTCACAAAATATTTTATAAAAGTTTTTTAGTTACTTTTAAACCTTTTCATTACTGACGGGCGTACTTGATGGAATCAATTTTTTTCAGATAATTTTTTGACTAATTCATTTTAAAAATATTTGTTCTAATGTCCCCACTGATATTTTAATGAATTTTTTCATCTGATTGCAAGTTTCTGTTTATAACAGAAATTTCGGACCAAAAGATTTTGTGAGCCTTAACTTGTTTTATGTATGCATGTATGTTGTTTTTCTTTATGTGTTTTGTTTTTCTGTATGTAGATATTGTGTTTTTTGGTGAAAGTTTGTCTGATGATTTTTACAGTCAAATAAATAAAGATAAAGATGAGGTAAAATTTTTACAGTCAAAAAAATAAAGATTAAGGTGAGATTTTAGAATGACTTAAAAAGTATTTTGATACAGAAAATAAATATTTTGTCATAACAAAAAAATTTATTTTGCAGGCGGATCTTTTAATTGTAATTGGTTCATCATTGAAAGTTCGTCCAGTTGCACTTATTCCAAGTAAGTGTTATTAATAAATTTTTGAGATAGGAAGTCTCAGCTTAATTCGGGATTTAGAGTCCTGGAATTACACAAACTCTTAAAATCCGGTCATATCCAAACCAAATATGTTTTGTGTCTTCCATATTTAGTTGGTAATTTATGCAAAAATATGTCATTTTTAAATCCATGGTCTTGCCGTATTTAAATAATCAAAAAGAATGACTTGATTATTTAAATCTTGATTTTTTTTTTATTTTTTTTTTGCAAATTACACGCAAAGTTACAATGCTATAATGCAATACAAAATAACGATACAGTGCAAAACAATTAAAATTATGGACGCAATTAAAGCTCTGAGTTGAGTAAGCAACGCTACGGGTTGAGTAATTAAAGCTCTAAATTGGTCTAGTTAAGTAAGGTAAGGATACCTTATTATCATAGATAGCCATTTCAAAGACGAGATCTCTTTTTTTTTTTTAAAAAAAAAATGCTACAATATAAAATTTTAAAAAATATTTCAACTTTTAAAATTTTTTAAATATGTATTAGATGAGTAAAAACTACGAAAAGCTTTTATTAGATATACATCACATACCTCGAAATACCTGAAGTAATTTTTCCCATAATAAATACTATTTACGATTTATAAATGAAATCTTTAAAAAAAACTTATCATAAACCCGTTATTCAATTTAAACTTTTTTTAACTTAGGCTTGATCAAACAAAATGTCCCGCAATTGTTAATAAACAGAGAACAATTACATCATATAGAGTTTGATGTTGAAATGTATGGCAATTGCGATGACGTCATTTGTTATTTATGCAGCGAACTCGGAAGAGAATGGACAGACGTAATTGGTACATACAAGCCATCTTTTTTAAGTGTTTCCAAAACCATAAAGACCTTTAGTAATACATCTGATTCAAACAAATCTTTATCGGGTTTTGATAAAGAATGTTACAATTCTAGTAATCACGTTTTACAAGACCAACAATCAGATTCACCGCAAATTGATGAAGGTAATTTTTTATTTTTGAAGGTTTTTTCTTTTAAAAGATATTTTAAATTTGAAGCTTTTTTCTTTTAAAGTATATCTTGTATACCTCTACAAAAATAAAATGTCTTTTCTCAAATCTGTTTATAACTTATTTAGGTATTTACTTTTTACCTATTCCACCAAACAAATTTGTTTTCCATGGTGCAGAACTTTACACCGAGGACTGCCCTTGAAAGAATTTGTTACGTATCGTAGCGAAGAAGTTGTTTCTTTGCATTTTTCAGCAATTTCGTCAAGTTTTTGTTACTTTCTGTTGCTTCAGAGGAAATGACGTTGACTTAAGTTCTGTATAGTATGAACGCCTTAATCACCTGGAAAAAAAATTTTTTTCTCGTTTTGGCGAAATAGCATAATGGATATATATACTATTCTATATAAATTTACATATAGGCATATATGCTATATTAATGAACATAATGACATATGTGTTTTATAAATGTAAATAATGGCATATTGTACATTTATTGTTAATTTGATCTCATAGCCTTTTTTTATAATTTTATATTATTTTTTATATTGGTAAAACAAAGAAAATAGCTTTCTAGTTGTTGGATAAATTAAAATAATCATTAGATTTATTGTTACGAAAATACCGTTGTATTTTTTAATGGTTTTTTAAAAAATCATTTAAATGTTCCAAATAAACTTTATACTTAATCAAAAAAAAAAACATTTCAATCATTTTTAAAAATAAAAAATTAAAACACGAGAAAAAAGTGATTAATAAATTAATAAAAAATGCGTTTATTGCTTATATTTACCAGTGTCTTCATTAAATGAAAAATTCTTTTAATATGTTAGCAGCTGGAAGCAATCTTTGTTCGTGTTACTCAATGAGATATTAAAGCCGACACGAACAAAGATTGGTTTACAAAGGTTTCTGCAATTCGCACATTTTCACAACAATTTTGCGCCAAAAAGTTCTAGTTGGCACAAGTCATAATATTTACGCGGTAGTGGTATAATGGCGTAGTGGTAAGAATTCTGCCTTTGAACCAAGAGATCCGAGGTTCAATTCTGGCTCTAGCCCAATAATATCTGTTATAAGGCTGTAAAGACTTCTGGAAGAATCTAAATAACCACAAAAGATGATAATGATAATAATACTGAACTTCTGTTCTGCAAAATATTTGAAGCAAATCTGAGAAAAATATATTGTATGGCGAATGCAGTTCTCTATTTACTTGTAAGAAAGATTTAATTTTATTGATTTTTTGTTGTTACCAATTACTTGTTATTAATATTTTTTGTAGTTACCAGAAGCTATTTGTGATAGGCATGGGTCCACATTCGTCATGTTCAAAGCTTTTTAGACATTTCCAAAGTAATGTTAAGTTCCTATTAAAATGAAGTTTCCTAAACATCACCATGCAAAAAGTTTTACTCGGATTCAATTTTCCGACAAAAAAAAATAAACAATATGGGGCCATTCATAAAAGAACTCGTGTTTATAGGAGGAAGGGGGTCAAGATAAAAAGGACAAATTTTATAACGTATAATTTTATATATATATATATATATATATATATATATATATATATATATATATATATATATATATATATATATATATATATATATATATACTGAATATATTACAATTAATGATATACGTTTACGTGACGGCATTGGTTCCCCTTGTATTGAAGTAGAACAATCTGAGCTGTTGCGCGTCATCATTCAACTTGCTAAACACGGATCTTCTGCCCACGATAACAGTTAATCTGAAGTTTATAGGGTGAGAGTACTACTTTAGGTAATAAAAATTCCTATTAGACTATAATATGTCTAAATGTAACTTTTTAGCCTCTAAACTTATTTACTTATAATTTTTTAACTACTTTATAAAGAGCCTCAAATTGTTGGATGAACTTTGTGCTGAGCTTGAAAAGAGAGCTATCATCTTTGCAGAAGTGCTTTATATACTCGGAGCAAAATGGAGCAAACTTTTTGAAGAAAAGAGACATGTCCACACGGTCGGAATAAAGAATGTGAAAGAAGTTTGCTCTTTTTTAGGTCTTAAGGATGTGTGCTTTATAAGTCGAGACAATAAAACTCGGATCCCAATTAAATTACCGCTGCTAACAAACAAGCTTCTATATTAATGCATTTCTAGTTTCTCTCCATGATCATGTTTGGATCATTGTCGCAAAGCATGTTCCTAAACTTGTTATTCATGTTTAAATATCAAAACAATATGCTTCCAAAATCCTTTAATAACCTATTTCTAAGAATTAATCATAAATACTTAACGAGGTGCTCTATCCATAACTTTAATTTAAGTCAACTCTTAAAACATCTGATTACTCAATTTCATATAGAGGACCTCGTCTGTGGAACATAGTTCTTATAAAAATATGAAAAGTATAACTTCAATAAATTGTTTTAAAAATATAGTTTAATAGTATTTACTTGAATTAACAGACAAACATATTTTTATATTTTTAAGTAAAAAAAAAAAAAATCTTGTAATATTTCTTACTGTATCTATTTATTTAATTTTCGCTATTTATTGTATTCTTGTTGTAATTATGTATTAACTTGTTTTATATAACAAGTATTTGTAAATTTATATAATGAGAAATTTGTAAAAAATACTTTACGCTTACTATAGGGGTTTGATGACAAGACTTCTGTCTTCTACTTGCTCCTGTCGTTATTAGTTTTTATTTAAATTTTATTGATAAAAATTGTAAAATAAGAACGTTGTAAATGTTTATATATGACGAATAAATGTTTCTATAATTCTAAAAAGCACAAGCTCATCCGATCTCTCTACGCATGCATTGAAATCAAACCAGATGGACTTTGAAAATCTGACGCGGTTTCCTATTTTGGTCCCATTTATATTGCTGTTTGATTTGGAAATCATTCATCGTCGTGTATGCGCACAGATTAGGCTTAAAACAATTTTTGCCATAGTTCGATTCCATTACAAAAGACCCTATGACCAAGTTGATCAAGCCAGTGGTTATATTCAGTGTTGATTTAGCGGGATTGAGCCTCTCATGTATGCACCAGCCAATATTTCACACAAATTGTGAAATGTGAGGATTCTGGATATTGTTCTTTGAAAAGGAGCTCTTATTTCCATGTAATTACCCGTCGATTTCAGCCTCCATCTATTCCAGTCCGTCAGTCAGGTAATGACTTAAAAACTGTAACCGTTTCAGACATCACGAGCAAGAATCATTTTCCTTCTGATTTTTTTCTTATCGCCTCCAATATTTAGAGCACAATTCCTCAATCATTGAAATTGTTCAAACTTTCTCCTTACAATTTGTTTTGTCCGTTTGTGCAATCAAGTTTATCTCAGAGAATCTGTAAGCATTGTAACTTGTACTTTGCCTCCCAAGTCTTGTTAAAAAATCATGCCAGCATTATTCCTTCCAATTTTATTAACCAAATGGCTACTTGCGTTAGATACGAAATACCCTTTTGCGAGTTAGACCTGTTTGCGTTACCGCCAAATGCAAAAGATAGTTAATGGCCGTAATTGCAGTAGAAGAGAACGCCGCTTTTACTGAATGGTTCGATGAAGATAAAATTGAAACAGGGCCCTATATTCCAGGGCCTTTTATTCAAAATGATGCGACTATTTCAGTCGAGTTGAACTGCCCTATTCCAATTATATCAATTGACGATTATTTAAAAAACCCTTGGACAGACTAAGAGTGAGGCAAGTTCTCATGACACACTTTAATTAAATTTAATATATACAGTATTGGACAAAACATTTGCAACCAACATCGAACAATGCTAAAAAGTGTTTCTAATTTTACATGTCGTAAAAAAGAAACAAACTATACTACCACAGCAAACAGTTCAGGAGTCTGGAGTCATAGCATGCCATGACATGAGCAATCAGTTGACAGGTGACAGCACACAGGCAGAATTTCTTTGACAAATGCCATTTTGCAGCGGACAAAACAAGTGCAACTTTTTTGGTTTGTATCATTTTCTTAAGTCTGGTTCGTGTCAACGTCACGGAAGTTTTTTAATAATCAAAGGAAGTATCCAGAAGTTTCCAGAAGTTTCCAGAAGCATGCAGAAGTAATGCAGAATGTAACACAGTAAGCCTTGAAAAGCGTGATTATTTATTTTTATTATTTTGATCACTTCAAGTGCAAAAATGGTGGAACCATTTTTGCACTTGAAAGTCTTGGATTGAAACTAAGAAAGAAAATTATTGGCGATTGCGTAAGTTGAATGTCACAAAAAAGTAATTGTGATAAATATCGCGTGAAAAAATGGACCGTATCAAGACAATATTCCAAATATCGTTCTACGGGGAAGTTGGCAGAAGATAACAAAGGTAGAAGACCACGTTCCACCACTTCTAGAGAGGATTCTATGATCGTAAGATCCGTCAAGAAAGATCATTGGATATCATCAGTGGAGATACAAAAGCAATTAGAGCTGCCTGTATCGGACCGAACAATCAGGCGACGTGCTGTTGAATCCGGATTGTTTTCTCGACGTCCTGCAAAGAAACCGCTGATTTCACTAAAGAACCAGAAAAAAAAACTCCAGTTTGCTACATCTTATATTGACTGGAATGTGCAGAAATGGCGAACTGTCCTGTTCAGTGATCAATCGAAGTTCAACATCATTGGGAGCGATGGGATTTGCCGTGAACGTCGACCGGCCGGAAAACGCCTCGATTAACGTTACTGCCATAAGACCGTGAAGCATGGAAGAGGCATTGTGCGGCGGTTACAGCGCTTGCTTTATAAGCAGGAGATCCAGGTTCGAGATGAGCTCTGGACATATTTTCGCGTCACGGTAAGGAAAGAGGCGTGAACTTCTTGGTTAAATGCACTTCCGCGGTGCTCTGTGACAATACTGTTAGGTCTTCTTGGGGCACCTAAATTAACAAACAAACAAAAAAATGTGATGGCCTGGGGGTGTTTTTTTGCTAACGGTCTAGGTCCAATACTTCGAATCAATGGAATAATGGACCATTTCATGTATAAAAATATACTAAAAGATGCCATGTTACCTCATGCTGAATGGAATATGCCAATAAAATGGGTTTTTCAGCAAGACAACGATCCGAAACACACTGCAAAAGTAGTCAAACAGTGGTTTCAAGACAACCACCTATCGGTGATGGATTGGCTGCCTCAATCTCCGGATCTCAACCCTATCGAGAACCTGTGGGAGATCGTCAACCGCAGAATTAATCGTGAAGGTGTTCGTAATAAGGATCAACTGTTTAAACAAATCCAAAAGGCCTGTGCAGCGATTTTACAAAGTTTCATTGATCACCTAATCGAATCTATGCCTCGAAGATGCAAGACTGTGATCAACAGCAAAGGATTTGTCACGAAATATTGATAGCGAAATACAGCTTGGTCAACTTTTTGTAGAGTTGCACTTGTTTTGTCCAGAAGAAAATCAACTTTTTTTAATACTTTTAATTAATTTATTAATTTTCGTGTACACATAACGAACTTTGTGGTGAATAAAAGTTGAAGAACGTTGTCTCTAAACAGTTACATAGTTATTTCTCTAAATTGAAAAAATGCAGCACTTTTATATAAAAAAAAACTAAATTAGCATTATTTGGTTGCATTTGTTTTGTTCTATACTGTAGAATATAAGTAACATAACATACTTTTTTTTTTCAGGGAGGCCTACAAGAACTAAAAACTGAAACAAACGTGGAAATACCCAATAAGCTACTGAATGTTATGCAAACATAGAAAAATGTAATTCATTTGAAAAAATTCAATAAAAATGCTTAAATTAAGAACGAACCCAGTGGGAAAAAAGACATCTTTAGACAAACAAAATGCGTCTTTTTTATGACTTGTTATGTCTTTTTATAATCATCCAAAATAAAGACGTGGAAAGACGTCTTTTAAAAAGACGTCTTCAGAAAAGAGGTCGAAAAGACGTCAATCGGTTGTTAATAAGGAAATCATTATTGCTTAAGAAAATTAAAAACAATTATTGCCAATAGAACCTAACAAAAATTTAACCCACAGTGTCGTAATTACGATATCTTTGTTGCGTTCTTATGTTTCAGGCTAAAATAGAGCTTTGACAAAAGCTTGATTTAAGTACTACATAATAAAATACATCGTTGTACAGTCATTTTGATGGTTGTAAATTTATTTAGCACACTCATTTTTATATATTTTTAGACTGTTTACCGTTTAACTCCTGTCCCAATCTAACCTCAAGTTTCGTTTGCTTTTTTTGTATTACATTTAAGCAATAGACTGTTTTTTATGTTCACTCGTTTTTTAGAAGTGGTAACCAGCTAGATGTCGTAACCTGCTCGTATGAAAGGATTTCTCGACTTTAAATTTTTAATTTTATTCAACAACGCCAAGAAACAGAGCTCGCTCAAGAAACAGAAAAGAAAGAGAAAGATGAAAAAATGTTCTGTTGAACAATACTATTGTTTTATTTATAAATTATTCTCCAATATTTAAATATATAAAAGATGTAGAAAATGTTTCCTCTTTTATATTGACATCTAAAAGAGGTTTTAAGGGAGGTATAGGGAAAAAGGACAACTGGCGACAAAAAGGGGGGGGAGGGGTCGAAAATTGTTTAAAAACAGGTGACGTTCTTTATGGACAACCTCTCATTTATACTCAAAAAGACGCAAAACTACATCTTACGCAAAAATTTAAAAGATTTTAAAAAAGTTGGGTGTAGCGGAACTTATTCAGCATATATCAGTAATGCGTGACAAACTTGTTAAACGCGCATTTGTTAAGAAAACAAGTAAACATTTTTAAAAAATTGAAAGAAGTTTCAATGAATGATTCTCAAACTTTGATAATCCAAATTCACTGGGCTGAAAACACCAAGTGTTTCTATTAGTATAAACCGCAAACAACTCAAAGCCAAATTTCAATTTTAAACCTTGCAGTCTGACGCATTGAGTTTTAAACTTTTACCATAGTTTCTGATTCAAGCAATCATACGTCAGAAAGCAATATGAAACAGCAGTTAAACGATCTTACACTTAGTCCAAATAAAATCAAAGGTGTAGTAAAATCATTCTTATGTTCAGAATAATAACATTTCTCTAATGCTATTTTTTAAGTTATGATAAAATATGCTATTTTTCCTACTTATGATAACTAAGATTGCCTTATGATATGCCTCGAAAAAACGTTGATTAATCTAAAAAAATATATTCATCTGGCGTGAATAGTAAAAAAATATATACAAGTTTATTGTTATATATACATTGAATAGTATCAAATTAAGGGTTTGTTGACACTTGACGTACTTTTAGTAAATTCGATTTTTTTTACAGTTGCTTTTGGTGAGTATTTTTTTACAGCTACTTTTGCAGCTACTTTTGGTGAATACTTTTAACCTTTTTCATTTAACATTAATGCTCGCATAATTTTGTCATCTTTGGAGTTCACTTTTGTTTTATTTGTGACATTTTGTCAAATGTATTGTTGCACATTTGTGCTGTAGATAGTCATAAAATGTTTTCAATACTTACATAACATAATTACAACTACCTGTTGATATAAAAACAACTTCATCAGGCGGTAAAGCATAATTGAAGATTGAAAGTTCATCTACTGCGCCATTCAAGTGAGTATTTTCATAATAATGCAAACCAATTCCTGCAAAATGACCCCAATCTTGTGATAAATATCCCGATCCTTTTGTTTCTTTAACAAGTACACCATCTAAATACACTTGCGCTTTTTCTTCTTGCGAATCATAGGTTGCTATTAAATTAATCCATTGTCTCGGTCTGCATACAGGCTTAGTTTCTATTTTGAATATTTCTTTCCCTAAATGGTCTTTATGAAACCAAGAAATGCATCCATCTATAACTGCAAAATCGTACTGATCGTGCTTATGAAGAGAGCGGCTTCCGATTGTATTAAATATCTCGTGCCGACCTCTTAAAAAATATTTTTGTAACATTAGTAAATTTAATTTCTAAATAAATATATTAATAATGTATTTTAAAAATTTACATTAAAAATAATGTAATTATTTTTAATACATTATTAATATTGTATAGTTTTATTAATACATTACCAATAATTTAAAATAACACATAAAACAATAGTTTAATATAACACATAAAATAATAAAAATATTTAAGTATAATAAGTACAACAAATTTATTTATCAGGGGGTTAAAAAATAAAGTAAATTTATTCTTTTTAAAAATAGTGTTACAAAAATGAAAATAAAATAAAAAGTCCAATCGGACTAAAAGAAGGAGGGCCGAACTTAATTGTTTCCCAGTTGAGCTGAAAAACAGTTAGGATCGTAAATGAAATAATATGTACATTTAAGTATTAATAAAGACATAAATTAACATAAATTACCTATTCGTGTTCAGTCGTAACCACACCGACACTGAGATTGCATTTGAAGGCTTCTGGCGAAACTCATCGCCAAAAAGTGAAATATAACTGTGCTCGGAAAAGTTTAACCCTTTTCCACATTTTCCATCAACAATATCACTATGGTTTATAAGTTTTCCTATATTAGACAATCCTGATTGATCATATATTCGTTCCATATGAATTTTTTCAAAACTATAATAAAGTACAACTCTTCTAAAGTCGCATATTTGACTTAACCGACTGATTTCTACTTGGCTTAATGCTCTATTGTAAATATAAAATTCGTCGAGTATTCCATGGAACTCTCTTCCTTCTAAATTTTCACCACTATCAGAAGAATCAAAAAATTTTCCAATGCTGACTTGACCATCCCAGTCCTTAATCAAACTTAATTTGCTTTATGTTCTAGCTAAATTGTACTAAGTTACACTGAAATGTAAAATGAGTCTCAAGATTGCAAATAATCTTGAGACTTGTTAAATAAAAATTTGTACCTGAGAAAGGTATCCATATCCATCATCCTCCTGAATTTTTTCTCCATTTCCATATATAATAGCTTTTTTTGATTCTGAGTCATATGTTGCTCCAATATGAACCCATACCTCTTTTTGTAACAACGTTTTTTTATTTGTTTCAACGCTAAATATTGTCTAAGAAAATAATCATTTTAAAGATATTTTTATTTAAATCCAAAAAAAAGATTTGTGTAACAGTAATTAGTGTACTTAATACCAATTACCCCTCACCTCTCCTTCTTCGTTTCTGTGAAACCATCTTAATTGACCATTGCTAACCTCTAAGTAATACATCCCATGTTTATTAACGGCTTTTTTTGAATCAATAGTTTGAAAAATTTCTTGTTGACCTTCTATTGAATCCATGTATACCCAGACTGAAATTGTGATTCCTGTACGTGGTTTGTTTTTGATGGTGTTTCCATTTAAAAGAATGTAACCTATATACAAAGTCACTTACTACAAAAGTTGCTTCACTTTAGTAAAGAATAACTTTTCAAAATTTAAAAATTCTTCCACTTACCGCCTTGAAATCGAAGTCCATGACCACATTTACCAGCATCTCTGGCCAGTTTTGATAAACCAACAAGGCTTCCTTGATTTGAATAACCTGAGTCATCAAAAACCTTATCTCCAGCAATCCGGTCAAAGGTCATATATATCAACTGTGATTGGTTTTGAGTATCTAAATTTTGTTAATTTTTTTTAAATCTTTGTTGAAAAATACGATTAAAAAGTATAACAATTCTATAACATTATTTATTTTTTATCAAACCTCGCCTATATCGCAGTGATCTATTTTTTTTCTGCAGAAGTTTTAAGAGGTGAACATATTTATCATTTGGTATTGAACTCCTCATTCCTAAACATTTTTTTAATGAAAAAAATTAAACAAATACAATAGTTATAATATTATAATAACTTAAAAGCTTTTTGTGTCAGCAAAACGTTAAAAGGAACGAATTTACCGTAGGGCAAAACATCACTACATTTCATAAACATCTGGCGGATTTCTAAAGGTGATAACTCGCGACTAAACATTTCAATTTCGTCAAAGAAATCATAGCCTTCGTTTGATCCAAAATGTTTTCCAAATGCTGCTTTACCATCCCAATCTTCTGATAGTGCTCCTGCGCCATTAGCTCCTTCTTTAATATCACCATTAACATATATTACTGCAATCTCTTTCGTAGAATCATAAGTTGCTGCAATATGAGTCCATTCGTCTAAATAAAGAATTTATTAATATAATGCCCAATCCAAAAAATTATTAAGAAAATAATTTTAAATTGCGTAACTGTGACAAATTTATAGTTGTATGGCGATTGGATGAAAGTATAGTAATAAATGTATATTGCTGTTAAAAAAAAAAGCGCTTAAAAGCTGCGCTTAAAAGGTTTTAGTAAATGAGGATTTAATAAAGACCATTATAATAACCATAGTGTTTCTATTTTAAATTCATGTGAAATGCAACTTTTGCATGTATAATAAATTAAGAGTTTTCAAATAAAATAAAAATCTATACAACAAATAAAAAAATGTTTACTTTTTACAACTACTGGTTCAGTTTTAACAAAGAATATTTTTTGGTCGTATTCATTGTGATGGATCCAATAAATTGCCCCCTCTTGAACGCTCAGCTCATACTGTTCATGTGTGTGCATTGAGTGTCCCCCTAAAATTGGTATACGAAAATTCACGAGAACGTACCGAATTTCAAATACAAGCATAAAAGAAGAGGCTCTCTACACTTTATATTTCAAAAAAAGAGGGAGGGTTCAAATCAATTGTGAAAACGGCTTTGCGAATTCGTCAAAACCTGTCGTATAAAAGAGCCTGTGTTTTCCAGTCTCATCTTCAAGTTTAACCCACAATGCAATAGTACAAGCGTCTGTAGGTTTATTGTGGAAGCGAGATCCACGCAAAGATATTTCTGAAGTTGCGTTTAGTTTTGATGTGGCTACTTGCACAGCCGGACCGCATGTACCATTGGATCCTATAATAAATTGTTTTAAAAATTAAAAATTAATTTCTTACAAGTTTTTTTATGACTGATTAATCAGAAACTTATAGTAAAATCTCTGTTTTATGTGCGTGTGCACATGTGCTTGCGTTCAAGATTAATATCGTTTACTTGTTTTTGCTATCTTTCCACCTATAACAACCTACTATCAAATATTATTTACTTTAATATATTTATTACAACGGTAATTTCAATTTGAAGTTAAAATTGAGTCGTAAATTATGATAAACAACTTAATTATAATACAGCGAACTATAATAAACAAATTTAATTAGTATTAATTTAATTAGTACCAGCTGTAACCGTTCCAACAAAGTAACCATTGTTTCCTTGGTATGAGGAATCTATTGAAACATTTCCATCAACCTCACCAAAACGTAGGTGCATTATTTGCGATGCCAGCGCTCCTTTGCAATGGGAGTGGATTGCCGATATTTCAGAGTCATTTAACGTTCTATTAAAAATATAAAATTCGTCGATATAACCTTTAAGCTCACGATCTCCCTTGAAATTACCAATTCCTAAAAATAAATAAATAACTGAAAGTTAAAAAGAAAGAAATAAAAAAAAAAAGAAAAAACAGCTCTAATTAAAAATCGAAGGAAAAAAACATTATTTTAATTTTTTTTGAAACGATACCACCAAAAATATAAAAGTACCAGTTCTATTTTCAATTTAAAATGTCTCTGCGTAGAATTTCTTTTCCTTTTATTACATGACATAACATTTATTTTAAGTCAGTGATTTAAAGTCGCGTTCCGATTTTTCTTTTAATATATTCCTCAACATACAAGAAATAAAATTTCGTAAAATATTAACATAAAAGAAATAAAATTTCGTGTAATGTTATGGAAAATAAATTGAAAGACAAAGTTATAAAAACTGAGTTTATTGAAAATATAAAAGTAAGGCTTTTCCCAAGCTAAAGGGGGTCTTGCAGTATGTGAAGACACATACAAATTGGAAAAACTGTTTTAATTTAATAATATTTTTAATAACAATAAAAATACTTTCGAAGTAGTTATTACTTATTCGCCATTTATTTATTATCTTGGCTTTTATATCAACGTAATCTAATTGTCAATAAACTTCAATTAATTGTCGATAAATTTCAATTAATTTAGACCAAACCTATTCACTAATATCCTTATCGTGAAATTTATCGTAACATCCTTATCCTGAAATTTATCGTAACAACCTTATCGTGAAATTTTCAATCGTTAAAAGTTGTAATATCTCTTCTCTTAGTACAAATTTAAATAAAAACTTTGAACGTCTATTCAAAAAAGTACCGGAAACATTAATGGTCTGATGTTTTTCTCGATAAAAATAATCAGTTTAGTTGTCAATTTTTAGGATTTTTCTTGCGTAATGCAACAATCTTTTCAGTGAAAGTAGTTCAACTTTTATTTAGCATTTTTCTGCGTGTAAAATTAATTTAACAACATCCAAATCATTGCTGAATTAATCTTTTTTGTGTTTATAAATTTTAGCTTTATGAGCTACAATTTTATGAGCACAAGTTTTATACCATGAATATTTCTCACTGATTATTAAAGTTTACTTAACCAATGTTGCTTTTTGGAGTAGAGCCCAAAACCACTAACCACTACGCAAGCGTGGTGTATTGGTTTAAGTTCTGGCTTCATAACTGAAATTTCGTGGTTCGAATCTGGCTCTGGCCATTTATGTATCATTGGTACGGAAAGAGGCGTGAACTTCCTGGTTAAATGTTATTTTGCTCGGTGATAAAACCGTTAGGAGCACCTAAATAACTAACAAAAAAATTGATTAGATAAAGATGTTAAAATTGCTATTAAATGGACAATAAGATTTTTTCCCCCAAAATTTCAGATAACAAATTTGAATAAAACTCACCGTGCAGTACTACGATGAACCATCTCCTGGATGGGATTTTTTTACGTGAAAATTTACTTTTTTTTCCAAAATATTTTCTATATTAGATTTTCTCAAGCTTTTATAAAAAAAAAATTTTCTTCTACCATTGCCTAGTATCCATTTATTTGATATGAAGCAATGATATTTATTTCTCAGAGTTAAATAATTTATTTGTATAATTTTCAATTTGATTCATTTCAGTAGGTGGTTTTCTACAAAGCGGGTACAATTGATAAAAAGGTTCCTGAGTGGTTTCCGCTAAAAAATTTCTTTCAATAAATGTTTTCTTTCAATAAATGTTTTCTTTCAATAAGTGTTTTTTTTCAATAAGATTTAAAAATAAATAATGATATAAAAAACTTCTTCATTTGATAACTGTTCTCTACGTTTATCATTTGCAGTTCAAATATTTTTGTTCCGAGACAAATATTTTTGTTTCGAGAATAAGTTTTCTTCTTTCTTTAGTATATTTTAAGATCATTGGTGTTCAAAATTTAACTGAATTAGGAGTTGATATTTCAAAAAAAAGTCCCAATCATATGTTTGAAGTCTTTTTAGGCTCCATATTGTTGCTGTAAACCTGATAAATATCTGCTCATCTTTACTTTCCAATTTTATCACCTTGCTCTAAGATTTAGCAGAACTAGAAGTTGTTCAATTGAGAGCGAAGCAAATTGTCGTAAGAACTTTTAGACAACTCTTTGAAATTCATGGATGAATTGGCAAAAGCCACTGACTCTATCAAATCCTTAATTTACAATAAAAATCAACTCAATCAAGTTCTCGTCTCTATTAGTAATTTTAGATATGATTAGCGTTATTTTAATCCACTATTTTTGGAACAGTATGAATCAGAAGATTTTGAGATGACACACTTACTTCTTTGTCAGAGATGTGCATATTATTTAGTGTACATTTTTTTTAGGCTCCATATTATTGCTGTAAACCTGATAAATATCTGCTCATCTCTGTTTTCTTTCCAATTTTATCCCCTTGTTCTAAGATTTAGCAGAACTAGTATTTGACAAATTTTAATAGACTCAAACTTCTTGCCATCGTGTATATTCAAAAGGTCTACCCAATCGGCAGAAGAACTGCGATTGTGTCACAGAATCGAGTTGTATTCGTTGATCCACTTCCATATCAGTTCACTATTTTTATTTTTTTCTGCTATAAGTCCTAATACACATCCTTTTTTTAGAACTTCTGTTCACAATCTAAATTTATACAAATACGAGGCTACATTTTTAGCAGTTCTTTAAACAAATATGTCGTTAATGTTGCCCATCTTACACTTTTATCAACATATTTGTCATTAACGTTGCCTATCTTATGCTTTTTTCTCTGTTAGGCATTGAGTACATGCCAAAAAAATTGTGGGAATTTTGTGGGAGCTACATTGATGACAATGCACATTCTGGCAAAATATTACCGTTTTCCATTAATAACCATTGTATGACGAGACCATACTTTTTTGTCAATATGGATATGAAGGTAGGCAATCTTAAAACTAAATTTTTTTTCTCCCCTACCGCTGGAGTTTTGTTTGATGAATTATTTTTTTGGCCTAGGTTTCGTGCGCAAAGTAGAATCAATACTTTAAGTGGTCCTTGGGCCGCCTTGTTATTTATTATTTCAACTAGTACTTGCACAATTCCTCTCAATGCTGTGATGAATTTTTTGAAACCGTGTAGATCCCGCATTAGCCACAGTGGTAAAGCATCCAAAAACAAATAGTGCTATTCAAAACATTTTGTTAACTTTTACTTTTAAAAATGGCAACATTATTTCTGGAGGAATAACGTATGTCATAATTTCTAAATTCTCTTTTTTCTTTTAAAGTTTGTTATAGTAAAGTTACTTAAGTTAAAGTTGCTGTCAAGTTGGTGTCGCAGTCAAACAATTGTCATACAATAATACAAAAAAGAATTTCTTTATATTTTTACCTGCAAAAAGTCCCCAGTCACTTGACAAAGGCATTGCATCGGATACTTCTTCTTTTATCATTATTCCATTTTTATAAATCTTTGATACCCCAGAATGTCCGTCATAAGTAACAGCAAGTTCTGTCCATACCTTTTCATCAATTTCTTGCTTTACGGTCTCAGCTGAGAATACAGTTTCGCCGTGTTCATTGCGGTGAAACCATCGCACTTTCCCATCAAGAACCTCCAAATGATATTGCCCTAAAATATTTTTTAGCTTACTATTAAATGTATCGTTTGGAATACTAAAGATTTTTTAAATTTGTCAATGTTCACACCTTCTTTATGATCGGAATGAGAACCCACAGTTTGAAATAGTTCATGCGCCCCTCGAATATTAACAATGTTAACCATTAATGCTATTGTAATTCCCAGATGTGGTAAACCTTAAGAAAAATAAGATTTCAAAAGACGTCACATATTTTATCTGGAATATTTTATTAAAAAAATTTTTACCTTTAAAGTTTTCACCGTCCAAAATAACTTCACCATCAAGAAGTTGTAGACAAACTCCGCAACTTCCATCGAGCTTACTTATTAATGCTCCATTTGCAAGAGTTGCTTTGTTTTCCCGTAGCGAATCGTCGTAAAGATGTTCTGCATTGTATCTATCAAATCCAAGATAAAGACTGCAATCAATGTCCTCTAAAACAAACCAACTACATATTTATAGAATTTTGAAAATTAAAATTGATAAAATGATTACGTTTTGGCTAAAGGAAATGATGGCAAAAATCGACTATTAATGCATTTTTTGTATAGTATAATTTTAACAACTTATATAAGAAGAAATTACCTCGTAACCTTTTTACAGCTGTTAAACTAGACAGCGTAAATATTATAAACATCAATGGCAACATTGTAATTTAAATCATCGCACGGTCTTACTTAAACGTAAAACTTAAAAAAAAGTTTAGCGCTATCATTGTGTAAAATAGTAAATAAAAAATATATAAATAAATGAATTCAACTCCAGGATAAGTGATTGCTATTTTTTAACTTTCCGTATATTCATATGGCACATTAAATAGTTTTTCTACGTTATCTTTCCGTTAAAAAATTCATTAAAATATTAATGTCTTACCGAACAGATTTTAATTGGTCATGCTTGAACTACTTTTAATTTTGTTCACGCTTGAGTAAAAAGAGAACGAGTCTTTAAATTGTCTTCCTTCTGTACAAAACGTACGATTCCGTACGTTTCAAAAACTAAACTAAAAATATTTAACTGTTTAATATATAACTGTTTAATATATAAAAGTATTATAAAAGTATAAAAACTGTTTAATATAAAAGCACTATATTTTTTTATTTTAAATATAAAAGCACTATATTTTTTATTTTGAGCCTTAAAATTAGTTACAAAACTTTTATAAATAGTTAGTTGGTTTGCTAAAATTCAGGTTTCCAACGAATCTCTAGTATAAGGTACATTACAAATAAATGTACCTAATATTAGTTATAAATTTGATTACACTTCCAATAAATAACGATTTAAGTGCAAATAACGTTTTTTGATCGTTTTTCAATACGCATATCAAAGTCGTTTTTTCTAGTATAATATGAACATCAGAAAAAACGCTTTTCAAACACGTTATTGCATTTTAAAAACTTTAATACATTTTGAAAATGCGTACTTTTAAGGTTATGTTTGCAGTTATTTTTGATCTGACATCTCAAATAATTTCTCTAATTAACCACTTTTTGCGAGAGCGCCAATGGCGGCTGGGTTAAAAATGGTGAACGGCCCCAATAATCAAACAAGAAATTAAAACATTTAAAATTTCGTGAGCACAGCGATTATACAGCATATTTTTGCGTTACTTTTAATTCTCTGGATTAATAAAAACTTTTAATTCTCTGCATTAATAAAAACTTTTAATTCTCTGGATTAATAAAAACGGACAAATGAATGAAAATCAGTTTTAAAACAAATAAACGATAAGCCAATCAACAAAATCTTCGAGAAAGGTAAATAAGACGCTTAAAAAAAATATATATATATATATATCAATGACAGCATCCTAGCTCACCTTTTTAGCCAAATCTTCTTAAATAAAAATAATCAAAAGATCAGTAACGCGATCATGGCTCATAGTCAAACGGAAAGAGTTTTTTACAATTATTGTTTTACTAAACAATCGTTTACCCTCAGGAAGAGTATTGAAAATCTGGTGCATGATGCAGATGTATTGAAAAAGGCAATCAAGTTTCTTCTCAAAGATTTTATTAAGTAGTTGCAGTAGATTTTTTTCCTTAAAAATTATTTTGCAAGGGTTGGTAAAACAGCAAACTTCATCAGTGCGATCCTCTTTTTTCACATTTCTCGGATAAAATCGTGCAGGTTCTTAAGCTTTATTTTAAACGGAAAGATTATCAATATGTTATTCATCTGGTTGGATAGATGAAAACATATACAACATACTTTCATTTATACAACCATTCTGCTTGCATCAATTCTTGAATCAATCTGCTGAATTAGACTACCTATACCAACATTAATAAAGTTCACTTCAAACTCTTTTGCTTGGCTGTCGTGGAAATGGGCTGGTTTTGATGCCTCATTGTGAAAGCGCTTCAGTTTACGCTTTCTTTCAGTAGCGAGTTCAGTTTTGAATCCTAGAGTTCCAGCTACAGCTATTATCTCTTAGAAAATTTGCAATCAAGAGTCCCTAACCTGTTTGAGATTTTCTAGCAGCTGTCTAATTAGAAGTAGTCTTCGTGTTATCTACAGCTTGTTATATGCATTTACTTCTAAAATGTCGCAAGTTGTTCAAGTTTATTACAAAATCTGACAATTTTTTATTATCCAGCTTTAAGATTTCGACTTGGCTGCTTTATTTTGAATTTTCACTTTTTTCTTTAATAATTTTGTAAGCAATGAAAGGCAAGAGTTATCTGATTAAATTGGTACTCCAACTTTTTCTAAAAATTTACCTCACCAAGAACAAGTTTAAAAAAGTTGACCAGTTAATCAGTATTGATTACATTTTCTGAAGTTCATCATCATAATAAAATATTCGCCTATCTGCTAAACTAGTTTTAAGATTATTTTTAAAATTTTAATTTCGCTAATTTTTTTAAGAAAAAATTAGCAAAATAGAATGCAACTTTATCACCTTGTTCAAGAATTTTATAATTGTCTTGCTGATTTAGCAATGCACTGAAACTTTAAATAGTTAAATAGTGAAGATGGCTTTCAGCTATGATACCTAATGGTTTTTATTTAGGTACCTAACAATTTTGGGCACTCGATTTCAGAAGCTGCTCCGATCAACACTTATGTGAATCAGGTTTAAACCTTAATAATACTGGTGATGGAATCCAAAATCTTATTACTTAAACTGCTGGTAATGGACGAGTAGATACTGTTGTGTTCCTTTTTATGAATGCCATTGCTAGATTCAATGGAGGTCGCTTCTCTTAAGTTTCGTATTAATCCGTCCCTCCATAAAATAGTCACCTGATAGTACTTATCTATAGAGGAAAAAAGTTTTCCTGTGGGTGCCGAAATGTTTTCATAAAGGGTGCCAAAATGTCTTCCGTGTCGTGGGTTGTAAAAAAGTTTTTATAAAAAGTTTAAAAGGAGACATTCTGAGGGGTATCTTAGGTGGTGCTAAAAAAATTTTTGAATACGTAAGAAAAATCATAGATAGGACACCTTGGGGCGAATTCAAAGGGCTTTATAAAAAAGTCTCAAAAGAGTGTCTTGGGGTGAGTTCAAATCCACTTTTTACATCTACTGCCAGGCTAAAATCCAAAAATCAATTCTAAACTTGTCATGTTTTGCTGAAGTATATTGTGTGTGGCGAAAGCAAGCTAATTTTGAAAAAAACAGGAACAAATAAAAATAGACCGAGAACAACAACAAAAATAGCGACAAATTGAGTATAATCTTGGAATTAGACAAAATAACGAACTTATTAGCAAGTTTTAAAATGTTAAAAGATGACCAAAAATGTTTTACAAGGGCGAAAACATTGATTTTGTAGTAGAATGGTTTTCAAACCCAATAATGAAAGTTAAAGCAGCAATTAAAATTAAAAAAAATACGTGAACAATTTAGACACGATAAACAACTTTCAAACATTAGCAAATTCAATTACTTACTCCAACTCTTTGAAGGAAAATCCACAAACAATAAAATAGTGCACAAAATACACTGGATAAGATGAAGTAAAACGTATAATACAAGATACTTATGGAAAAGATCTTACATCATAAAGTGTTGAGTAAATATCTTTAAGGAATAACGAATATTAACAACACGTATCAATTCAAAAATCAACTTTAAATTAAAACAATGAGCAAAATACGATTAAAAAAACACAAACGCTCAGTGTCTTACGAACATAGAAGCATTATATTTGAACAATACAATGGGGGTAATTATAAGAAAGCAATAATGACAAGTGTCGATAAACGTGGATGCATCTACTGTTAGTAACAAAATCACAAAAGTAAAGATTGCATAAAAGTGCATAAAACTGTACAACAAGCATTACATAAACATGCAAGCAGATTTTAACAAGCAAAAGTATTTGTTACAACTGTAATGGTTATGAACACTTTGCGACAAGTTTTCAACCAAGAATATGCAAGATGGACACCAGTTAAGTAAAAATGAGTATGCAAAAATTGATAATAAATTAAAAAAAAAGGAACCTTGTTATCGGAGACTGAAATTTTATAGATACAACCTGTTTACACAGGCTTTAGTATTGCTGATTATAGACGAACAAAAATTACGAACCGGTTGTTCTTGGAAAATGTCCGGATAAAGATCCTGGAGCTGATTTATTTAGTGGGGTGAACCCTTTCTGGGATTCAATCACAATAAAGTTCTGGATTTGAAAAGAATTTTTTACCGATTGCGATGAGTTAGAGCAAATGTGTAGTTTAGAAGTATTTGAATTATCAAGCACAAATAATGAAGCAATGTTCCATCAAAACTCAAATAATAAAATTTATTATAAAACTAGAGTGCCTTGGAAGCAGAGTTGTTAGTGTAACGTAACATGATAACGTGTTAACGTGACTTTCTTTGGCTCTAAACACGTTAATTAATGTTAACGTGATTAAAAATTGACTTTTGTAATTACGTTAACCGTGTTAATCGCGTTAATAATCACGTTTAAATTCAATATAATAGGGAAAAAAAATTTGCCTTTTAATAAAATCAATAATAAAAATGAAAAAACGAAATATCTAAAAGAAAGAAAAAAACGAACTGATTTAAAGAATATAAAACAAATAAAAAGATAAATAATATAATATAATATAATAGTGCTGTACACTTAAAGAGTGATGAGTCCAAACTACGTGGAGTTTGTAACTTTAACAGCTGTAACACACTAACATACAAACATAAAAAAAGTTAGTATTTAAAATGTTCATCCAATTTTTTTTTTGAACTGGTTGATACTGACTGCGTCTATTGTTTCTTGTTCAAGATTGTTCCAGTCGTTTACTACTCTATTTGTGAAAAAATTATGTCGTTTTATATTTTCTGTATATTGCCTTCTGAGTTAGTAAACAATAGTAATTGTGACCTCTAGTTTTATATCCGTTATCTAGCATTTCGGGTTTTGTGTAACAATTTATAACATCGTACCCTTTCAAATATTTGAACATTTGTACCAAATCACCCCTTCTTCTTCTATTCTCCAACGATAGTAAATCCAACTTCTTTAACCTCTCTTCATAACTGTATCCTTTCAAAATTTTAATTCTAAAAGCTCTTTGTTGGACACACTCTAGTTATATATATACAAAAGTAACGAAAATAAAAGTAAACAAAAAATTTTTTTTAAATGGATGAAAAAGAAAGAAAAATTTCGAAAATTTGGGGGCGGACAATCTTACGGAAAGATATATTTTAGTTTTTTTAAAGATCGATTTGTGAGTAATTGATTATTACAATAAATGGTTAAAAAGTGCTGTGTTCCTGAATGTAGAGGAAACTATGACGCTAAAATTAAAGTAAGAGTTTTTCCCTCCAATGGAAAAGAAAGAAATCGTTGGATAAATTCAATTCCTAGAAGTAATTTTCCAAATA